ATTGGATTAGAGGAATCACACCATATATTGAGATTAACATTTGAATATAGGGAGCTGATGATTGTAGGGGATATTATACTTTGATCTATGGATCTATTGTGTTTTAAATAATTTTTGTTTCACATTCACTGTTAAAATAGTTGCATAAATAAAATTAAAAGAAAACCTAATATAGCAGAGCAAATTATTTAATGTAAGACAAAGCTCTATTATATGGTATTGCATTGCAATATGATATGGATTTAGAGGAGGAAGCATTTGGGGAAATTTGCCATCCTTGGAAGAACTAAAAGAGGAATTTGTTGAAAATGACATAAAAGCCATAGATAAGTTGAACTCTCTTGACAACTTATTTCTGAATAATGTGATGAAGAATCTTTGCACAAATAATACTAGACTCTCGTTTCATAGTGCAATGGGCTTGGAGTTTAGCTCCAAATTCAAGTGCATTACAATTAAATACATTTAATATGAGAATTGAACTTCTTTTATAGGTGGTGGAGTTGTAAGAAATTAACTCCCCAAGGTGTCATAGGCTAAAAGATCCCCAAAATCACGATTAGAACGATAAAGAATTCATCATATGAGACTGAGTTTGAGATCAAATCTGAGACCAAGTCCAAGACTAAATCTAAAACAAAGTTCAAAACCAAATCTAAGATCAAGTTTGAAACCGAGTCCGAATACTAATATAGGTCATGGGTGAAAACCCAAAGCAATCATCTGCTTAAGGGGGATATAAAAGGTTTCAAAAGTATAATAAAGATAGTGAGGCTAAGGACCCTGTCTTAAAAAAATTCTTTAGTGGTGTTTAAATTAAGTTGAGGTTGAGATTAGGGGTTAATGGCTTTTAGTGGGAGTGAGCATGGACTTAAGGGGTGCCAAAGATGCCTTTTAAGGAAGTGCTTAAGAATATCTCCCACTCCCGAAAAGGAAACGAATTGCAATACTCTCAACTCAAGTGGAGTGATGCCCCATTTAAATATCATATATCTCATTGGTCCTCACTCTTTCTTAGGGGTTTGGGCCTTCCTTTTGGGATGGAGGTGGGGGAATAAGGGTACCCATTCCAGGCCATTAATTTATAGTGTTTCCTCAGTAAAGGATGCATTTAAGGCTTTAGATTTAAAGGGTCTTATGATCAAGTCTTGTTGTATCAAGGAGTGTTAAAAACTTAGAGGCTTGGTGTGCTTACCTACTTATTTTTACAAGGAGTGTAATTGAAACCTTAAATCTAATTTAACTTAGGAATGGGGATTGGGAGAGAATTCAGGAATTATGGATGGATGAATAATACTCTATTGTTTGTACAATGAGTAATTAAATTAAGGTAGGACTAAATAGGAGTTAGTACAATAAATAACCTTGGCAAGGGAACTTAACTAAGATTAAGGCAAAGAACGGTGTGGTTCGGCAGAGAGGGCATGATGGTTAGATAGATGAGATAAATTAGAAAATTA